ATGGCACACGACATCAGATGTTCTGAGTAAGTGAACTGGCCCCTTTGAACATAGTTTCTATCCATTAAATTAAGCAGATTATATACTCTTAAAATATGATATCATCAACACCTAAGTCATTTTGTAAAAGTTTGTTTTGTTTTAACTAATCAGTTTTCACAAAGTTTGTAAGTAAACACCCATCATCATCTGAAGGGGGAATAATTGTCCTACAACAAATATTTAATTATACTCCACAGCAAGCTAACTCCCCTGAAAGAAATAAATAACTTTCATTTATAAAACGCATTTCACATTGCACAGATCCAGAGATATGGTTGACTCTTAACTGCCCTTTGAAATGGGCTAGCAAGTCACTCTGTTCAAGGGGAATTCATAACGGGCTATAAACACTGGCCTTGTCAGCTACATCCACAAAGAAAACAATAAAACAATTAGTTAGAATAAGCACAATGTCACCCACATTGTTGCAGGTTTGGAATCACGTTAGGATGGCATTAAAGACATTAGTGAACCAGATAGGTTTCTTCCAACAAAAAATAATGGCTTCCTGGTCATCATTAAACTCTTAATTCCAGACTTTTTTTGAATTCAATTTCTACCATCTGCCATCGTGGGATTTAAACCCAGGTCCCCAGAACTTTACCTGGGTAATGGGATTAATAGTTGAGCAATAATACCACTTGGCATTCCCAGTGCTTTTCTGATTTCAATTTAGACAGTGACTAAGTTAGTAGTTCTGACAGTAAAGTTATTTATCTGGGGGAGTTTATGGGCTCTTAGAGGCAATCTGGCTTTTATGAATAGGCTTGAGAATTCATCTATTTATAGTGCAGATAAGGATGGGTGGGTTCAGTGAGGGGTATTTGGAAAAATGCTGCCAATCTGAAGATCCAGGCCAATATATTTAGGAACTCATGAGTTAGGCCTTCGAATCCATCCCTCAGAAGTCTGCCTGACCTCACTCCCACCTCAAGTCTGTCTAATTGCGAGGCCGACTAACCACGGGGCCAATTAAGGCCCCAGGGTTCTCTAGCAACCTAGAAATAGAGGTTGGAACATGACTCAAGTTTGGCCCTGACCTCTGATGTTGGGAGCTTGAAACAAAATAGTGTGTTGCATAAATATTTCAGTCATACTCAGTGGAATCACAGGTACTTGATTTCAAGGAGGATTTTTAAAAAATATTTCTATCCTTGGTGTACGGCCAAACTAAATTCAATTTCTTGAGGAGCCAATTGTAGAACGATTAAGTTATGTTTCAAGGGAAAACCATGTACTTTTAATAAAATGATTGATCTTAGGAATTAGTAGGTCAACATTTTAATTAATGTCTTCTCCCTTGTTAAATGTCAGCACAGTTCTTCTGAGGTTTTATACTGGAGCAGGCTCACAGGGAACAAAGACACTTGGTGCCTCACATTTTATAAGGCAAATACAACAACATTTTCAATCCAAGATAGTAAGAACTGCAGATGCTGGAGTCAGAGATAACACAGTGTGGAGCTGAGGATTGGGAGATTTGAAACTAGTAAAGTCCACATTTAGGCATCATTGTGACACCGAAGGAGGCCCAGGATGGACATGTCACAATGATGCCACCCGCACCTGGAGGAGCAGTACCTTATATTCTACCTCCAGAGCCTACAGCCCAATGGCCTAAATGTGGACTTTACCAGTTTCAAAATCTCCAAACCCCCGGCCTCGTCCCATGACCAACCCACCCTCTCATCCCTGCCTCCTTGACCTGACACATCCTGTCCATCTTCTCTCCCAAAAGCCGCCCCTCCCACCTCACTGATCAATGCCCACTACTCCCTACCTGCACTCACCTATCACCATCCCACCTACTTTCCCCAGCCCCACCTCTCCTCTCTCTATTTCTGGGCTCCCTTCCCCCTCCCCATTTCTGAAGAAGGGTCCTGACCCAAAACATCAGCTTTCCTGCTCCTCTGATGCTGCCTGGCCTGCTGTGTTCCTCCAACATTTTCAATCTGCAGGCAGATCCTTAAATGACCAAGCACCGCAGAATCAAAACAAAGTCAACCACCTTATCAAAAACACATATAAAGCATTACACAGAATGATAGGGGGAGGCAATACAATGCCACATGGAGGGACATAGATATGTAAATATACAGACAGATACACAACCAGATACAGAGCCACACAGAGCTACACATAATAGGAGGCAGAAACACACAGACACACACATACTAACTAGTATTGGTGGCACCAACATACACATTAAAATCACAAGAAAGACACAAAATCCTAAAAACTGCAACATTTATGACCTCTCTGCACCACAAAGCAAAAAAAAAGCACCAGAACAGTCAGGGCTAGAGCAAAGTATAGCTGGCTGCAAAGCCTAATGATTCAGGTCTTAGCACAGATTTTAGCTGAAGCAGAAGAAGAAGAATAAAATTGGGAACAATGCCAATGTCTGTAGTTATTACAGCTGGGGCTCTGGTCAGTAAATATTTAAAGATAGTGTAAGGCCAAAGGATACTAGTAAATGAGAGTCTAATCTATGACTGTGACACCAAGCAGTAAAATCTAGGCTGGTTTAGTTATCTGGATGCAGAGGATTTGTGGTCAGAATAAAGAGACTGTATGCTTTATTAAATAGCAGAATAACATACACAATATCCCCACAGGCCTATAAACTCTTTCTGTATTACATTCAGTTCTTTTTAACACCCCCTACAAATTTTCTCACTTTATGGATTAACAGGTGCATCCATTTCACTGTTGACAGTTGAAGGGAGCCTTATCTAAATCTAGTGGCTGTTTTGTGCTCATCCCTTTAAAACTCTATGTTGAACTCAATTATGTCATAGCTGCTGATATCAACATTTTTAAAAGACTGCCAACTAAATTGAACATCTGTTTGTTTTTGGACAAAATACCACAGAAGACTATCTTGAACTCACTCAAGAAACTAATTTGTTCTGACATGTGATAACCTGCTTAACTCAATCACTATGCAAGTGAAAGTTCCCCATTAAAGCCACTTTGTATTTGCCACGTTTGTCTAAGCTCTCCATTTATAAATCTACCACTTCATCACTGCTTTCAAAGGCCACAACTCTCATTACAGCCTTGAATCCTTTTCTATTTCTTAATTGTCCACTTACTGTTTGCCTCTCATTACATTCTCTCTTACCACTATATGATTGGTAATTATTGTGGCTGTCACCTTGCTCCACAAGAACACAAGAATTGGGAGCCATTCGAGTCCTCAAGCTTGCTTTGCCATTCAACAAGATCCTGGCTGACCTCACTGTGGCTTTAAATCAACTTCCTCTCTGACCCCCAGTCTCCCTTGCTGATTAAAAATTGATCTAACTCGACACTGACTATATTTAACAACCTTTCAACTACTCTCTGGCTAAGAGGATTTCCCAAACTAACAACCCTTTGAGAAAAGAATTTTCATAATCTCAGGGCTGTTATAATCCTATCTGATGTTATTTCAGTACACCTCAGATACTAGACTGAAATCTGGCTTGATAAATAAAAAAATTAAAATACAATCTAACAAGGTAGTATTTCGATGAAATACAAGCACGCAATGCTGCAAATTGGTTTTAAGCAATAAAACAGAAGTTTATTACACAAAACAAAGGATAAAATAGAACAAACCAACCTTTACATAAAATATAATTTGAAAGATTTTGAAACACTGAGTAAAAGTACAATCCCGTGTTCCAACAGCACCCCTTTACAGTACTCAAACACTAAAGAGAATTCTGGCCTGTTACTTTCAATTTCCACTCCAAGAGTCTGATTGTCTCTGCCTTGAGTATTCTCAGAAGTGGACTTAGACTTTCTCAGCTTCGAGTAAACTGTTGATGGTTGTAACTAGATACTTCTCGTCTGAAACCTTCACAGTAAATCTTTATGTTGAGGCAACCTGTTCCTATAATTTCTGAATTAGTTGCCTACTGTAGAATTTGAGCTGGTAGAAATGCAGATGGTCTTGCACAAAGTGCACAAAGTAAGCAAGCACCAAGATATGAGCTTGAGACAAAGTTAGATACTTGATGAGCGACAGAATTCAGTTCAATGAGGGAAGAGGTGTTGTCCTGATCTTTTACATATAAGGAATGGTCTGAAAGATGCAGCAGCAGGTTGTGAGAGTTGAAGCCTGGAAGCAGATAGGTGAGTTGTTGGTGCGTTTAAAGTTTTTAGTTTTCCTGTAAATGGGACAGACGTTTTAACAGAGAAGTATATTTTGAATTTATAGCTTAACTAGTTAAAACCACTTGACATCGATAATCATTGAGTGACATTTATAAACTTAATTATTTAAATGAAATGATGTGCTGCAGCTGCACCACGTGCAAGCTGGTGGACACTTGTGTGATCTACAGGAAACAGATCTATGGTAAATGTTTCCATTTCAATTTGAGGAACTTTGGCTCAAGAGTCGAGGAAGTGGAGTCTGAGTTTCTGACACCAAAGTGCATCAGAGAGGGGGACAATTACATGGGCATTTTGTTTCAGAAGACAGACACACTGCTTCAGCTAGTAGTGGTGATAAAGAGTCATGCCTGACATCTGAAGAACAAAGTGGGGATGTGAACAAGTGTGCAGTCCTTTAGTTCACTGAGGAAGAATGGGAAGGGGAATTGCATGACATACAGCATCCTGTTCAAAATCTTAATAATATTTGTCTAATAAAAACTGAATATTAACCTACAACTTTGGAGAGACAGACAAACAAAAAAATGAAAGTCAAACATTAAGTGTTTTGCAAGGCTCTGCACAGACTAACAAACACACATTTGAGAAACAGGGATTTCCCCCCCTCCCCCAACCAAAACTTTTTTTGCAACCAGTATTCAGCATCAGGCCTGACCATTTTTTCATCTTGACTGTGTGAGAGTGTTTTGTACTCATGACCAAGTAGTGTGGAACATTCAGAACATCACAGTGCAATCCAGAGGAAACTATCCCACTATATAACTGCTTCCCAAAGTAAAGTCCCTTACCAGCTGACTCCCTTGGGCATGGTCCGACAGACCTGCAATAAATAAAAAGATTTATTAACATAAGCCAGTGACTATTCTTTATTCTTCTTTACAACTCCAAAGGAACATTACCCTTTAGCATCTCAAAATAATCCAAACAAGCAGACAAGAAGCATCATCATTGTTTAAGACAATACCCATCTTATCCCAGCTTAAAGTGAAGTGAAACCAACAGTAAAAAGGATAATCTCACAGTGTTGTTTCATAATGAAGGTATATGAGAATTCTGGCACCTAAAGTTAAAATCTAACACTCCTGGGTCAGTGCAGCTATGTGTAATGTAAAGCTTGTTCTACACAGTCCTAATAATTTGAATCAAATGAAATAAAAACTCAGCAGGTCAGGCTATACTGTAGAGAGAAAGCAGTGTTAATGTTTCGGGTCCAGTGACCCTTCTTCAGAACTGAATACATCAGGTCGAATTTGAAATGTGTTTAAGTATAGCTGGCGGGCACTAAGCCACTGATGCTCATGACTGCAGTGTATAAAATATGTGTAAAAGGTGCTTCGAGTCTTATGACGCAGATTGAGGAGGTGCATTGTATCCTTTCCTACTCTAACTCTTCCACTGGTCACAATAAATTTTCAAATTTAACCAAGTTGGTAATATGACCATTTATTATAGATCTCAGGCTATATCAAAATAAATCAGCCAGTTTCTTTTTTTCAACAAAACAAACTTACTTAGAGAGACAAAGATTACTGACAAACACTTTCGGCTTTGCAATGTATACTTACCCTCTAAAAAAATGTACACACACAAGTCCAAGGAAAAGAAAAAAAGTGAGTTTTTTTAATTCACTTGTTGGATGTGGGCCAGTACTTGGTACCCATCCCTAACTGCCCTTGTGTTAACTTTAAAGTACCTTGACCAAGGGATAGGTAAACTCATGATAAAATATCACAGCTTGTCCCAAATGGTGTTCTGATTCCATGGGTTCTTCTGCATACAGAAGCAGCCAGCAAAGGATATCTTCCTGAAACAATTGTAGCTGGCTGTATTGTCCTTGCTTGAGGTAGTGAGGTAGATTCCAACAAATCTGCTCTAGGAATCCTCCATGAGTGCTGAAAATAACTTCTGATGGGTTTTCAGCTCCCACACTTTGCTGCGAGAAGTTGCAAAGAAAGAAAGAGGAAGCTGTGTGCTGCTGTTCTTCAGGTAGGTCAAATTTTCTCTCAGTACAAAAATGCAATAATCTTATACCACTCACAAACTGGTCCATATAACCTCTCTCAAAGTTGTTCTTTGACTTCATCCAAGCTCCCTGCTCTTTGCCGACACAACATTGTTGATGTTACAGTCAGTGCTTTTTCTTTGCAAGCCCAGATGTTATTGTGATTTGTCTTTTAGGAACATCGCATTTGGCCCCTTTAACCTGCTCCCAACACTCAATAAGATGATGTGATTGTGGTCTCAACACCACTTTCCTGCCCACCCCCATGGCCCTTGACTTGATTCTTTGTCAAATATCTACCCAACGCAGACTTGAATAAATTCAACGACACTGCATCCATTGTTTCCTGGGGAAGAGAATTTTACAGGATAGGTAACTTCAGAGAAAAAGCTTTTCCTACTCATTGTCTTAAAGGTGATACCTCTTATTCTTAAAGCTGTCTCCTCTTTCTAGTCTTTCCTACAAAGGGAATCATCCTCTCAGAATCCACCCTGTCGAGTTCTCTCAAGTGCTTAAGTGCCAATGATCTAGTCTGTAGTCTGAACAGGACCTCCAACCAGCACTATACACCAGATACATTGACGACTTTTTCTTCCTTTGGACTCATGGCAAGGAATCATCAAACCAACCACATAGCGATATCAACAAGTTTCATCCCACCATCAGACTTAAGATGGACTACTCTTCAGAATCAGTCTCATTCTTGGACACACACATCTCCATCAAGGACAGACACCTCAGTACCTCACTGTACCGCAAGTCTACAGATAACCTCACGATGCTGCACTTCTTGAGCTTCCACCCTAAATATATTAAAGAATCCATCCCTACGGACAAGCCCTGCACATTCACAGGATCTGCTCAGATGAGGAGGAACGCGATGGACACCTGAAGGTTTTGAAGGACGCCCTCATAAGAACGGCATACGATACTCAACTCATTGATCACCAGTTCTGACATGCCACGGCGAAAAACCACAATGACCTCCTCAGAAAACAGACACAGGATATGACCGATAGAGTACCCTTCATTGTCCTGTACTTCCCTGGAGCCAAGAAACTACGCCATGTTCTTCGCAGCCTTCAACATGTCATTGATGACGATGAGCATCTTGACAAGATCTTCCCTACGTCTCCACTTCTCACCTTCAAACAACCACCAAACCTTAGAGCATTGTCCACTACCCAGCCTCAGGACAACATAGACCACAACATCACAAAACCTTGCCATGGCAACCTCTGCAAGACATGTCAGATCATCGACATGGATACTACCAATACGTGCGTGAACACCACCCACCACATGCATGGTAGATACTCATGTGACTCAGCCAATGTTGTCTATTTCATACGCTGCAGGCAGGGATGCCCCGAGGCATGGTATATTGGCAAAACCATGCAGGCGCTACAACAACAGATGAATGGACACCGCCAGACAAGAATGTTCCCTCCCAGTGGGGGAACACTTCAGTGGTCAAGGGCATTCTGATCTTCAGGTAAGCAGCCTCCAAAGTGGACTTCGAGATACACAACAATGCATAATTACCCAGCAGAGACTGATAGCCAAGTTCCATACCTGTGAAGATGGCCTCAGCCGTGATCTTAGGTTCATGTCATTACAGGTGACCCCAGCACACTGTTCTGTATTTGTAAAATCTTCCTTACTATCCTGTTTTGACAGCATCATCTTGATAAATTGTTATGATCTCTCTACCTTAATTAGTTTGTGCAGTTTTGAATTCAGCATGCGATTCCAGTCATTTAGTTTTTCTCCAGCACCACCTTATTTTTAATTTTTTTACCTCTCTGCCTCACTTAATCGGATTATAGGTCATCCCTTTGCTGGTTATTCAGCTGTTGACACTTTACTCACCGTCTAACACTCCTGGATCACCTGCAGAGACTTATCATCTGACACTCCATTCACACCAGTTGTATGATATTTTGATCTTTCTGTCCTTGATCTCTCTGCAAATAAATGCTGGGTCTGTGTGCTCTGCTCTCTCGCTGCACCTGACGAAGGGGCTGTGTTCCAAAAGCTTGTGCGATTTCAAATAAACCTGTTGGACTATAACCTGGTGTCGTGTGACTTCTGACGTTGATCTCATCTCTCATTCTTTTAAACTACAATGAGTAAAATCCCAATCTATTAAACCTTTGTTCATAAGATAAAGACTTTATATCAGAAATGAGTCAACTGAACCTTCTCTGAACTGCTTCCAACAGAATTACCTCTTTTTCGAGTAAGCAGACCAAAAGTATACTTAGTACTGTGAATGTGGTCACACCAAGGTCCTGTACAACTGCACTAAAATTTCCTTACTTTCATCTTCTACTATCCTTTATATTTTTTCTCCTTGCTTAATTGCTACCTCCTGTCCACAACCAACAGCCCTAACAATTCTGTTACATCACTGATGCAATGCAGGATCAGGTTGCAAAAATGTTCGAGGTGTTGGATTTTTGGCTCCAAAGCCAAATTTTCAGTCTGTTTCTCGCTCCATATCTGCTATCACATTTGCCGAGTGTTTACAAGATTTTGCAGCACATTTTGTGTTTGAGTTGTAATTCAACACTCATGTGGCATTAGGAACAGAAGCAGGCTTTTCAATTTCTCAAGATCAGTTCAGCATTCAATTTGATAATAGCTGATCTGCACTCCAACTCTTTTGACCAATTATTTGTTCTGTATCCCTATCAGTCTTGATACTTTGGCTCTCTGAAGAAGAGTTCCAGATCTCTTCTACTGTTATGCAAAAAATGTTTTCTGAATTCATGTCATTCAGGTCACCCCTCAATCAAAACACTTAAGGGAATCAAGTTTATGCAAGCCACCCCAATAATTTAATTTTGTCACTCAGATTTCTTAATAATGATAATGTGGAAAATTTCCCACACCCTGTCCACAAAAAGCGTAACAAATCTAACCTAGCCAATTTCCACCCCATCAGCCCCCTCTCAATCAAAGCAGTGCAATTTCTTTGACAGTGCTATCAAACAGAACTTCACAGAAACACAGAATTATTATAGCACAGAAGTAGACCATTCTGCCCATCTTGTCAGCACTGGCTCTCTAAATAACCATTTCACTTGGTGCCATTCTCTCATGTTTGCCCTGTAACCTTGTGCATTGTTCCTGTTCAAGTAACAGTCTAATTCCTTTTGCATGCTTCAAATGAACCTATAGAAATCAATAATCAAAGAGAGCACATGAAGGTCAGTTGGCCCACAGTGACTATGTTGGCTCTATGAAAGAGTTAGTTGATTAGGCCAGTTCTCTAAACCACTTACATATCCCTGCAAACTTCTTCCACTTCAAATATTGATCCAATTCCCTTTTGAAAGTTATGTGAATCTCGTGTGCATTCCAGATCAGGACAACTTGCTACGCAACTCAAGTCATTAACAATTCCCTTAAATATATCCTGTGGTCACTTTTTTATAAATTTATTCATGAGATATGAGACCACTGGCTAGGCCATCATTAACTTCCCATCCCGAGTTGCCCAGAGGGCAGTTAACAGTCAAATACATTGCTGTGGACCATATAGGTCAGACCAGGTAAGGACCGCAGATTAGTGAACCAGATGGTTTTTTTAGGTTTTTTTTAGATTGACAATGGTTATATGTTTGCCATTAGGCTGGATTTTTTTCAATTCTAGATTTTTTATTCAATTCAAATTTCACCATCTGCAATGGTGGGATTCAAACCTATGTCATCATCAGGTTGAATGCAAGAGAAATGAAAATTGGCCTCTTGCTTAATAACAAGGAGTCTGATGACACAGGGAGCCAGAGACAGAAACAGCTGTTCTTTTA